AGCGATAAGATGCATCTCTTTCCAAATTGGCTGTAAATTTTTAGGTTTACAGTTGCATTATTACGCTTATACAATCTTTTATTCATTATAAACTCTATAAAACATAAAATTGAATGAAGTTTTAACCTTTGAAAAGATCTCCATTTCATTTTAAAATATACTGTTTCCTACAGAAAGACTCATTTTTAATTCTACTAACACTTAGATGTTTACACAAACGTCTCTAATCTCTATGAATCTGATTATTACTAGTCACAGTTGGTTACATTCGGGTCCTTGGCACCTGAGTATGGATATAAAGATATCAGGTAGATTCCAATGGTAATGTTTATCACCTATACTAATTAACATAAAGTCAAGTTTTATGCTTCTTCCTCAAATATAACTCATTTTTTAAATTTGTTGATATTTTTTGTGTGTATATCATACAAAACATCCCAATCTTATTCATCTATCTATCCACTTCCCAAATGGCACCCTCCCATAGCTCCCCGCCACTGGAGCCCATGTACTCTGTCATCCCTGTTAAGACCACTGTGTTTTCGGAGCCCCCAGCCATTCCCCAGTGCTTGTCCATCCACGGAATATAGTCAGTATATCTAGAGTTCCTTGTTTTAGGCAGATCAGCACTTCATCATCTAAAAGCAATCAGTTGCCAATATTTCTTTAGATAAGATTTGGGTCTACTGTTCATTTTCCTACTTCTATGCTGGGTTACTGTCTGGAAGTCTCTGAGGCCACCCTGGCCAATAACTCAAAGGAAGGTATCTCCTGTCTGGCGTTGTTTCTTGTTATGTAGCCTTTAGCTATACACATGGACTCTTAAAAAATTATATTGACCCCCTTTAATCTTTGGTTATACTTTCCTTTTGGGTGTTTAAGACTATATAGTTGGCCCAGATAAACCAATTTATTTTTATTCTTAAGGCCACTTGAGGATCTGTTCCTCAGGAGTCACATGGGCTTGGGAGGAGCCCCTGGCTCCATTCTTTTACCAGTTCCATCTATGTGAAGATAAGTAAAAGGTCCTGCTCGACCATGGCTGGCTTTGCTTGAAAGCATGGAGGAAATGTTTCCTCTTTGTTGACCTTCCTCTTTGTAGACTGGACAGTGGTTCAAGTCTCCATGGCCTCCTTGATCAAGAGGATAGGTGAATCTCCACAATTGCAGGACATTTTGAGAGATTCTCATAGTCCCTTGGAACTTAGTCAACCTAGAGGGGCAAAGAGCAAAAACTGTCCTTTCTGTCTGCCTGACCAAATTAGTATAGGCCTCAAAGCATGCCTGTTAAACATCCAAAGAAGGTTATTTCCACCAGTCTAGTACTTTTAATTACCATGTGACATATAGATAAAGCTTGGGCAAAGACCAAGAATTCTCAGATAAAAATTGCCTAGACATATATTATATTCCTTGATCTAGTTGTATGTATAACTTGTCAGTAGGTTTTTGGACTAATATGGTTCCCTCTGGTTTTTTAAAACTACCCAGGCATTATTTATCTCTCACATTGTCTAACCCTTCCACCATGGTTTCCCTATTTAAGGTGACCCCATTTTTCCAATTCCTTCCTTAATAATACCCTTCTCCTATGGTCCCACCTTTCTTGAGCTCCTTCTTTCCCTTTATCCCCAAGGTTTCTTGTATAACCCTCCCTCCCCCTCCCCTTAAAATAACCCCATTTTTCTCCATATCTCTTTCATTAACACCTGTTTCCTACTGTTCTTCTCTTTCAGATTCTTTCTTTTTCTTTACCTCCCTGGTTCCTTTTCATCATCCTGGTTCCTGTAGTTATGTCTGGATACATAATCACTTATCAGGATTTGGTGCTAGGATCCACATATGAGAAAGAACATACATCAGTTGTTTTTTTTTATTTTTCTGAGTCTGTGTTACTTCACTTAGTATAACAGTCTCTAGTTCCATATATTTACCTGCAAATTTCATGATTTCATCATTTTTTTTTACTGCTGAGTAAAACTCCATCATATAAATGGGAAGAGAGTGC